AGTCCACCCATCTGAAAGTGGCCAAGTGTGAAAAACACTGCTCTACCAACTGACTGTGAACTCAAGATACATGCCACTGCCCACCTCCATACCATGGATCAGGCCCCACGTCGTTTGTGACATGAAACTTTCTCTTTATTGAATACAGAATCGTCCAACAAAAGGAACACAGGGGGAGGGGACAGGTTCGTGATAATGAAACTGTTCATAAATAGACTAGACCCCCCCACACAAAATATCTCTTTTGCAGCACCCTCCCATCTCTACCCTGCCAGCCCCAATTCCCACTCGGGCCCCCGGTGTCTTAGGGCCTTCTCCTGTGAAAGCTACACCAGTGTGGTATGACTAAGTAAGACTACAGAAGAAGGATCCGCTCCAAGCGTTCTGCTAAAAAATAACCTGTAATAAAAGCCGTACGGTATTTCCTTTCCCCCATCACCACCTAGGGTTTGTTTCTGGGTACCGAGACTGCGTTGAGGTCATCATGCCTAGAAAAGGGAGGGGGGACTTTTACCTTGCATCCCTCATCCCCCCCCCTTAGACACTTATACACACACACACACACAGAAACACACACACACACGCACCTTTGGTGGAGAGAAAAATATGTTGTCCATCTGGGGGTGGAAAAGTAGGATTCCAGGACTCAAACTCCCTGGGGTTTAGAATTAGGGTTTTTAAAAACGTTTCTCCGCCCTCTCCCCCCCATCCAGGTGCAGCGGGGAAAAAATTCCAGTTAAAGTAGCTTTCCAAGTGTTCCGGATCTCCCAGAATCCCGAGCCAGATGAGGCCAACACATCTGTTCGCCAAAACCTCCAAGGACGTGCTCCATGCCAGGCGTTTCTACGGGCACCAAAGCCACCCAGCAGGGCCAACCGATCAGGGATGCTGCCACAGGGGATCTGCTGCATCGCTGCCATGAGGACGGCTGAGAGCTACCGTCCCTGCCCTAAACACACCCACACACATGCATGCACACGCACACACATACACATGTACAGAGAGGCTGCGCCCGCTCCTTTGAAATCACCCAGTGTCCCATCCAGCAAATACGCCCTCCTCACATTCAGGATCCCAGCGGGGGGGGGGGGGAGGGGGGTCCCTTGCCCCCCCCGGCCTGAGAGCCGGCCCCCTGGCGGGGCCGGGGTTGGGGGGCTCTCCCCCCTGCCCCTGGGCCAAATGTCTCCATGTGGCTCTGAAACCCTCTGGGGAGCAAAAACGAGGAGGAGGAGGAGGAGGAGGAGGAGGAGGAGGAAGGGTGCA